AGCAAATCCACACGCGCCTTACAGCCTTGCTGAAGGTGGCAGCAATGTTTCATTCACCATAACTTTTAATACCGATAACAGTGTAAGAGCAATAAAGAAGCATTTATTCTACTCATCTCAGTGCAAAAAGAGATGAAAGCTATTTACCTGTAAATGAGGACATGGATCCAGAAGTCACTGCGTGAAGTCACCACAAGGCACTGTGAAAAGTGTATGTAGCCTACAAAGACCTCCACTTTCTTAGTTACAAAAAGTCACTGAGAAATACCTTACTTCAAAAGGCCCTGGACCAGTGAGGTTGAAATTCCTAAGCATGCCTTCAGAGGCAGGAAAAGAACTGTGTGGGGTCCAATGAAACCATCCACTGCTAGGTTGACATGGCATGCATCTTTTCTGAAACCTGGAGTGCTGCCCTGACACAGATTTAACATTCAGCTGAAATTTTTAGAAACAAAACTAAAGAGAAAACCAGAGCGTGACAGCTTGTGCCATCTGCATGGGATATGAGTGTCAGCTTTAATGGCATCAGTTATATCATTATTAAAAAAAATAAGAATTCAAATGCATTTACTGGTTATAAACCCTTTAACAAAAAAAGCTAGTGGCATGTGCACTTGCATCTGCTACCTTTGTGTGCTCCAGTTGACTTTGTGCATAGGAAGTTCTGCATCAGTGGGGATGGCAATACACTGGTAGGCATCCTTCCCCCCTCCCCATCCTTTTTCTGATGCATTATTACACTCGCTTCTGCTAAAAAAAAAATCCCAGCCAAAATTACTCAGTGGGGTGAGGGGAGGACAGAGTACTGGAAATGCACAGTATTAGAGAGCAGGCTACCATTGCAATGAAATGAGAGCTACATTTTGACTGTATTCTCTGGTGCTTGCACTGTGCAAAAGGTCAAGACTTTACTATGCATACTCTAATCCTTCTGGAGACTCAACACCTCCTCAGCTGCACAGCAAGCATTTCAGGCTATTTCTATTTTTATGAACTGCCTAGACACTTTCCTCATCTTTCATTTAAAAATGTATCTTTACTGTATCCCAGGCCCCTCCACTCCCTAAAGCATTTGCAATTCCTCTACCACTTTTGAAATAGATGCTGTATAGAATCAGAAGCCAGACTCTGCATTGTAGCTTCACTACAGAGAGATCCAGAAGACAATGAGAGTAGGAAGCAGACTTGTATTTAATCAAGAGTTTATACAGTATGTTGGAATTTTTTTTTACAGATGCTTCTCTAGTTACATTTGACATATTATTTTCCCTCAACAGCTACATTTCTTAATTTGACATATTACAGACCAAATGAAGCTCTCTTCCCCTCTGCAGTTCCTCAGACTCCAGAAAGACTAGAGGCAGGATTAACTGCTCAACAGTGTCCGTGTTTGCAAACTAGTTCTACTTCATATCCGCTTGACAGCCCACTAACAAAGCAAAACAGGAATGCTTTCACCTGCTTGGGCACTGAATTTTCCTGCAACCTGCAGCAGGTGTAAGATGGGAGCCTAATGTTTGCAGCCCTTTGAGAACAAATAATAGGAAAGGCAGCACCCAGCTGAAACCATTGTATTCTTTCTATTCACATTAGGTTAAAACCCAAGCAGTTATAATTTTGCTATAGCTGACTCAGCCTGGATTTGAATCCAGGATCTAAAGGCAAATTAAATTTCACCATCCATGTTAAGAAAGCAATTCAGCTTCTGAACTGGATCAGCTTTGATGCCACATTACAGAATTAAGTTGAAATGTGGTTTGATGAAAGACTCCTGTTCAGCAGCAGATATAATTATCACACTGATCTTAATTAGATCATGAACTCGACTTTAGGATCCCCAAAAGAGTATTAAAAGCTTGGTCCAGTTACACTGAACTTGGTCCAGAACACTGAAGCTTATCCATCAAGATAAATATATTACCAGTTCTTTGATACAACAGATGCTTGATGAGTAACAGAGTAAATGCCTTTTTAACTATGATTTTTTAAAGGATTATTAAACTGCACTAAAGTGTATGCTGTTATCTTTGAAGGAAAAGAGTATAATACATGAAAAACAATTACAGAGCACATCAAGCACAATTTTTCAAGCACTAGTTTCAGAATTAAAAACATTTGAACAAAGGTTCTCTCTATGGAGAGTAACTCTGTAACCAATTCAAGGCTTTAAATAGCTATTGTTTAAAAAAATTGTCAGCTACAGAAATTGTTTTCCCTTCAGATTCCAAATCCTGTCAGACCAGGGTGATTAAAATGTTGCATTAAAAAAAAGGAGGGGGGAAGGAAAAGGCAATCTAATCACGCCTTATAAAAGTAAAACCAGCAACTCAATTTTTAAAGCATCGTGAACAAAAGGCTATAGCCCATCTATCATTCACATATGGATTCATGTAATGATTCTTCAATTAGAAATATTATCTGTACAGCAGCTGAAGACTGAGAACTGCTGATACACTGCAGATGAGAACATTTGCCGGTCTCTGGGCTCCAGCCTTTCTTAAAAAATGATGATCGCGCAATATAGATTGCTCGGTTTATATGTGTATTAAGCTGCAATGCCAGCATTTACATTTGCAACATTACAATTTTGCTTTCTTAGGCTCAAGAGAATTTGCTGCATCTGGTAGATTTTATTTGCTTTGTATCTTAGGCAATTGTTATGAGCAAAGCACGAATAGGCAATATTATTGCTTAAAGTCCTTTGTTTTGTTGATTATCTCAGATACTACCAAAAAAAAGTAAACTAAGAGTAGGCCTGTGAGATGGGTCATTCAGTGTCAGTTCGCTTGCATTATATTATCCCAGTGCTATTTTTATAAGGCATGTCCATCTGCTCCTTCATTTCTTCCACATGTATAGATCCAGAGAGTCTAAGATGCAAGACCAGAGGGAAAGAAAAGCACCTCACACAGCAGTTACAGGCACTGTAAGGGAGGAGAGCCATTTTGGTGATTCAGACCGCAGCAAGCTGAGTGGTCCCTGTCTACCCTTGCATCCTGCCCCGCTGCCAAAGGTTACGGTCTCCAGTAAAAACATCCGTGCTGCAGCAGCACAATGGCATTGTGCTGGCTCTACAGCCACTGCTTTCCCAGGCTGGCAATGCTCAAGCACACCTCAGCTTCAGTGTTGTAACACACTGTATGAACTGTGGCAGCTGCAGAGCAGGCTACAGGGCAGTAACTTAGAGCAGCACACTAAGTAGCAAGAATGGTAACCTCCTAAACCTGCCTTTCTGAATCCTCAGCTCTCCTGGAATATTTCGAGTGCTTGCCCATTCCTATTTCATGGCTGGTAACCACATGCTGTGACCTAGAAAATGATGGAGAAAGGTAGCTACATAAATAGTAGCTGTGAGATAGCCTTACTAAATGGGCATCTGTTCTTGGTGTTTCTACTAAGGATTCCTGCTCTATCAACCCCAAGTATGTGCTGAAGCTCAGGCACCCTTCCCAGCCGTGTCTCTAGTAATGCAGAAGCTGGAGACAGCAAGTTGGCTCTTGTAGATTTTTGAGCCATGTCAAAGTCTTTAATGACATGCATCTATGTAGAGATTAGAAAAAGGGCTGCGGTTAATTAAGAAGCTTCTTACTTCAGTGATCAATCTTGGAAAGATCTTCATAGAAGGTAAATACTGTTAATATATTTGTTTTACTCTGCATACTTTGACAAACTCACGTCTATGTTATTGATGTCATTCACAATACTGCTTTTAGTGGGTGAGACCTGCCACAGCCATGAAATCTCCCTGTAGCTGCTATACAAAGGAAATGAAAAGTCATGAATGTATGCCCAGAGTTATTTCCCTACTTTATTACAGACATTAGTGAACAGAGAATAAGTAATTTACACTCTTACTTGAAAAATACTTTTTATCCTCTACTGAATCTCCTGTTCCAAATACGCTGTGAATAACCAAGTCTTCTCCATTTACTTGGAAGTATATTGCCATTTGAATTACTTAAAACTTCATTACATTTATATAACATTATAGATTGCTTCTGTCTGTAAAAAATGAATATTAACTAAAACTGAAGACATGGGGACAAAGCAAGCAAACAAAACTGCAGACTGGTACAACAGCTTACCAAAGTAGTATAAAATAACAACATAAATATTTAGTTCAAGATTTTATACATCATGGTGGGACATATTTATCAAAATATTTTAAATTTTCTGACTTCAGGTGGCATTGCTAAGATCTGTGAAGAGCTTTAATGACACAAAAATTTAAAATTTATTTTTGTTTTTAATTAAAGCCATCATCTTAATTTTTTTTTTAATAAAAAAGGTTTAAGAGGTCAAAATCAAAATAAACTGCTTACCTCTTTCTCTGGATTCTTGTTTAGAGCTTTGTTGAAATTTTCAGCTTTGATTGCAAATGGGAAACATTTCAAAGACAGAAAAAAACACTACCTGAGGAAGTAGTTCAATTTATGGTAGAAGTGGGTGAATTACTTGTAGCAGACAATTTATTATGAGACCACAAAAGGCAGAGATTTCTTCCTCTCAGAGAAGGCAACTGCTGTTTTCTTTACTCAGTCAGGATATCATTCATCAAATGCTTATTTTAGTTGCTATCACACACCTTCCTAGACTTTTGTAATGATAGTTCTAACATCCACATTCTGTGACTGGTCATCTAAATCAATAATTTATACTCATTCAGCCACAGAACAGCAATCTCGAAAACCAGGAAGAAAAGTATCACTAAGGCCAGGTGGTTTTCACTGGCTGCTCCAATATATGGAACACTGAGGCAGTGATCTGCAGAGATTTGACTCCAAAGTCTGAGGAAGTTTTACTGACTGGAAAAACTAAGTTACAGCATGCCCTCAACAGGAGAAAAGAAAAAAAGCTGGGGGGGGGGGAAATAAAAAGAGAGAGAGAGAAAAAGACAAGACATTTACATCTCCTTACAGCCACAAGGGCTCAGTGGCCAAGTTAACTGACGTGTCTCCTAGGATGTGTTTGTACAGCAAATAACAACTGTGACTGCAGTCTGGGGAGCTGCACAAGATTTAATCAATCTAATGTGTAACGCTAGCAATAACAATGTAGAAGGACCAGTTCAATTTAAGCTTAAGATACAATGGACCTCATTAAGTGAGAGCACTTTCATGATGATTAGCATATTATTAACTCCCACATATTAGCACCACCTCTTTTATCAATTCATTTGACCACATTGGAAAGACAATACATTCAAAAGCACCGCTATTTTGATTAACTGATTTACAAAGGGCTCTGAAGGATATATGTCTCAGTTCCCACTAAACAAAGTAACTAAAACATTTCCTGACATTTAGAACTCATTAATTGTGATATCCTGAGCATTATTACATTACAGACAGACAAAGAAAATGTCTTTGAACGTTATGCTCACCTTGAACAGCAAATGACATAGAAGCTATATACAATGTAGTAACTGCATTCAAGAATAACTACAAGTTTTGCAACCTACAGCACTGTCACTCCAGTGATACGGAACCTTTGTTTCAGGAACAGACTCTGAATCTATTGTTTGCTTAATGAATTCAAATCAGCAACTGCACAGAGCCACAGAAGCAACAGTGCCAATGGCAAGAGACACTACAGAAATGGAAGTCTATAAATTTCAACAACAGTAGACTAAAAATGCCAAAATATTCTTAGGGCTCACTAGGCTCTTGAAATTGCTGCATTAATCCCACATGGCATTCCTCCTTTTCAGTGAGTCTCTGATCTGATCACCCTATCAAAGGAAATGGGAAGAACAAAAATAAAAAACCAAAGCCAAAAGCCCCCAATGACTGTACCTCTCTACAAGCCCTGACTTTAAAGCTTCTATGGGCTGCTGAGCAGTGCAAACGTTTTCAAGAGCTGAGTACTGACAAGATAGGAGGTATTCTAGGTTCTTCTTTGCCACTGGAGGCTGATTTGTTCTAGGCAGTTCATGACAGGTGAGAACACCTGAAAAATAGTACTATTCCAACTCTGTCATTTCCCCATGCAGTTAGAACATCGTATTTAGTAAGGGCTATCCCAACATTTGCACAAATCTTTGAAAAGAAATTAAAAGTGACACATATGCTGATGAAAAACAAGATATTTTTAGAGCAGTGAAATTTGTTGTTTGGATAGTCTATACCTAGGAAGGAATTCAATCACTGCCACAGACAATCTTGTTAAACAAAAACATGTGAACAAACATTCGGTGATTTGGTAAACACTGGTCCAAATAGCCACACACAGACTGAAAGGCAAAATCAAAGGCTTCATGAACATAAAGCTTTACTTTGGCAGGTATTAAGTGCATTTTGTATGCCGCAAAAAATTGTGACTGGCCCTCTGTCTCGGGAAGAGTATCACCTACTTTCTTAAAGTTGAATTTCACCCAACTTTTTATTGTTATTTTCAGATCAAGAATAGATTTCTGCACTGCAGATGCACAATTCTAACCCAATAGAAACCTGACATAATTCAGACAAAAAACCATATCTTCCTGTGTTACTAAATCTGTATCTTCTAGTTTTCAAGCTGTTCTGTGGCTGCATTAGAATCACTTATTTCATTTATACTTTTTTCTTGATTTGCTTCTTTTCTAAAAGTCTTCAAACACTTGTCGAGTCTTTTTAGGAATACATCTACATCTTGCTTTTTAATTCCAATTGCTGAGGCAGCATTGAGGTAAGCACAGGGGTAGTCATTTGCATGTGACATAAAGCCTTTAAAAGTGTAGTTATTCACAGTTTGTACAGACCCACATGGAACAACCCTGAAACAAACAAAATTATGATTCAGTTAAAGCTGTCTTGGACATTTTATGTGATACTCTAGGTTGAACACAATTACACAAATTCCTACTGAAGCAGTCAGTTGCTATTCCTACCACTGACACTCAGCACCAGCACAACATTTAAAATCTTTTGAAATGCTGGGTCAAACAGTGTATACTGCAAAAGAATTACTTACATTAAAAAAGGGAAAACCTGAAACCTTTACATCAGGCAAAGAATTGGAGAGTTATAACTTCAAAAATTCAACCTGTTGAATAATTTTACCAAAGATGGCTACAATTACAGGACAAGCCAAGGTTAGGACAGCCAAATTAAAAAGAGCATCTAACTACAGTACATATAGATTTACTGTCATTCATCTGTTCAGGAAGTGGAATAATCCAAGCTAATGAAGCATGCCTTCTGACGTGGAAACATTCAGCTCTGCTACAAAAAAATGACAGTAAGTCTATGGCAGAAGTGAGCATGGCACCAGTAATATTCAGATTAAGGAATGCTGCCAAAACAAATTTTAAACCATTCTCTTCTTCTAAAGGGTCTAAAAATTATTTGGCTTGCATTTCCATGTAACAGTGTCTCTAAGAATAAATTCACTGCAGACTGGCTCAGGTTGTAGATTTCTAATGATTTTGATTTTTTTTTTAAAAATACAATTAGTTCCAGAAAGCAGAATTTTTTTCCATATGACAAAAAGCTATGTAGGGCATTAAAAGCTTATTCCTCTGACAACCAGCATAACCATATTTGTGCCGCAATAAACAAAACAAAGAACTTCCCTCAGTAGCTTACACCTGAACTATAAGATCAGACAACATCTGGATACTAAATGAAACCAAGGGGTACTAGGGAATAATGACACTAAATTAAATGGGCATAGATTATCTATTTAGCCTACCAAAGTTAACAAAGGGAGCCTCACCGCTAACTCAGGCAGGGAGACATTAGCTGATAACACTGGTGAAGAAGGGTGATTACTCTCTGACTCATTATTGAATAACGGGATTCTGTAATCATGAGACAACTAGTATAAAACGAATCCTATCGGGTTTCATAAAATATATGCTAATATAACTCATATGCTAAAATATATTCTAATATAACCCCCACAAATTTTCCTAATTCAGAGCATCCTTACCTTGCTCCAGAAACTTGTCTTGTGAAGAGCATAGATCCAAGCTGGGTAACAGCAGCATCATTAGTTTCATCTAGATTCTTCAGTGACATGGCTAAAATAACATAAGGTCAGGTTAAAACTGCTACAAAGCTGCTTTTTCTCCAAAGAATCATCACAAAGGACAAGTTGCTTTCCAACAGAAAGGATCTAGCCAAATATTTGTGTTCAGATACAAAGAAAAAAAGAAATGCCATAATTTTTAACTTTTCCAAAAGCTGTCATAGATTACTTCCCTGGTTAGACTGTATGCAGATTCTGCACAGGTGGGTAGTACTACTTTGGTGTTCAGCAGAATTTTTGATTAGAACAAATACCTTGAGCAGGAATTCCATAATCTCTTTTACAACACTAAGATGACCAGTAAAATAATTACACTATAATTTATTTTTAAATGTACTTTATAAAAAGTATTACTATATGCTAACATCTTCTGCCTGTCTTGATTACAATAAATGAATATGTTGGACAGGAGCAAAATAATGGGCCTAAGTTACTACTCTACTTTTATAGTAGGTTACCTTATTGGGTTCAATGGTTTCATATCAGCCTAAGAACAATTTAATACAGTGTAGTGAACAATGTTTAATATACAGAAATGGTATGTGAAAGTGCATTATGAATGCACAGTAGATTAGAATTTTTTTAAAAGATGAAACCCCAACAATTACCTAAGGAAATGGGATTATGTGGTGTGTCTAACAGTCTCTCATTGTGGTTATCTGCCAGCTTCTTCAGCTCACTTGAAAGATAGGAAAACATCTCCTGCAAAAAAAAAAAAGCAATTTTTTTTATTAGCTATCAAACAGAGAAAATAGCACCTATTTCACAAAACTGTTAAGTCTCCATTACATGCTACAGGTGCCCAGCTGATTCTCTTTTCAAGTGTACCAAGTAAGTGGACTAGACAATTCTCTGAAATAATAATAAAGTAACAGCTCCATTTCCGGAACACTGTTCTTATCTCTTGAGCTGATACAAAAGTCTCTATCTGGTTTAATATATGTCCTTGGGATGTCAGTCATTCTCTCTGTGGCCCTGAAATCTAGGGAAGTAAAAACTTGAAGAGATTCCCACTGCACAGCAGGTCTTACCCCACCCCACTGCTGCAAGAGCCTTCCCCTGCCCTGGCTCCCTAAACCACTGAGAATGAACTGCTGCCATCACAGACGGCCACGTTACGGCAAATTGCTCCTTACTTCGTTTTCTCTCTATTAATACATTCCAGACTAAAACCAGTACATTTTGTTTCTAGTATCATACAATCACAATTCCCACTAGTGCAAAGACTTACTTCTTTTTCTGTATGAGAATACAACTCCAGCCGCTGAAGGAGGCTGTGAGTGCACATTTGACTGAATTTTCTTTCACACAATATATACTACCCTGAATACTCAGCTCTGTTGTGCAGCCTGTCCTTTTCCTATGACCCTCCTCCTGTTCAAGCTGACTAAAAGAACAGAGATATCTGAATTTCTGCTATCACTTAACTGGATTGCACCTTTATTATAAAAGTGTAATAAGACATTCATAAATGTTTTGGCTGAGATACAAGTCACACTGGACATAAAAGGCTGCTCCTCTTACTTCATCTGTATTTTATTTCCTCCCTCTTCCCCAGTAGTAATCATTGATAATTGCTCATGCTTTTTCTCAGTCTAATATTTTCCTCTTCAGATATCAGCTCAAAACAGTTATTGACAGACTGAAAATAAATAATTCTTCTTATTGTATGCTTTGGCTTTTTTTCCATCCTTTTTAATGTTTAGTCTCTCATAAAAATTAGCAAAAACATATAGATACTAAACAGTCTTTTTAAAAGATATTAAACACTGGTTTTTTCCTCTTTCTGGTCATAAAAATTGTGCTGCTGATCTACTTCAGTGTGACTGCCTGTTTAAGCAATTTCTGGACCTGACAAGTGATTTTTCATTCTTTAAATAGAGTTGCCTCTTCTGTTTGTAGATCAGTATCCTGCTCTGACCTATGGACTCTGACAGATACAAATTATAGCTTGTGAGCAAAATTATGTTTTTGAACAGAACCTCCCCAAGGTCTTATAAAACCAAATGAGCTTTGTGGTACCTAAGCTGGAATGATGTTACAGCCGCTTTTCTTGAACCACTGCAAGAAGCCCAGTCTCACTTCACGAGTGACCAAATGAACAGAGCTCCTGACCTATTCTTCCTGATACCACAGAACGAATTCAGATGGAGAGGAAAAAGTATCCTCTTACTGTCTAAATGAATTAGGCTATTGATTCAACTATCAACAAGAACATAAAGTTTCTGTAATACTTGGAACAACAAAACTTTGGGGAGGAATCTATGGTTAATTATCAGAACTGGAAATTTGTGAAAATATTTCTTATTTCTTGTAAATCAAGTGATTTTATGGTTTCAATTCATCAGAGCTAATTTACAGTTCACCCACAGAAGCTGAAAAACATTTATGTTTCAAATGTTCAGACAGTTTTGTCTTTGTTCTGGTCCTTCACTGAATATAAGCACATTACTTACTTGTTACTTGCATTCCACAATAAGCGCTAGCCATTTTATTAGTATTTTTTTCATACAAGTAATAAATTAATTTGTGCTCCCTCTGCTGGCTATTTACTTCTACAACTGAAGCAAACTATTACAGAAATGGATAAATTGTGTTTACTATGGAGATATTATTGGTGAAATTAGTACCGAGAAAAAATATACTGGAACAAGAACCAACTCCTAAGTAATTAATTTTTATGTGCCGTACCTAGGGAATTCTCTGATAAATCTCTCACAGTATTACTGAAAGGACTGCAAGTTGGTATAACAAGTTACCCACTGTATAAATGTATTAAATTAAATTACATTTATTAAATGAAATTAGGTTACTAGATGGGCTTTTACATACAGAGGAATTTGTTAAAACAAGGGAAAACAGAAAGATGGCAAAAAAAAATTACAGTTATTTTCATCAGTTGGACTGAAGGTACATGAACACAAATTCATGAACAATACTCTCTTGCATCTTTCCACTGGAAGTCCTCTAGGTATTTTATAATTTCAGAAGTTTGTTACAAAATAGATTAACTGCCTTTCCAAAAAAAGGATAAAAGCAATATTTTTGTGAGGTCAAATCTATAACCAACCTCTATTATAAAATATTTCTCTTATATGGAAAATTTATAAGCACCCTAAGCAATTATGTATAAATGAGCTCTTACATAATAGATTTTCTGTAGCAGGCACTCAAGTTTTTTCCAACGAAGCTAACTATTATGTTAAAGTTGCACCACAGAACCCAGGCATTAAATGTCAGTTAAGTTTCATTATTTAATTCACTCTTTCCCCTTAGAAACTTATCACAAAACCTCATCAGGCTAGAGAAATGAATGCTAAACTATGTGGAAATGTCTTGCACTTCTGGTCCCTCCAGAACCAAAACCAACAAAACACCTTAAAAATTACAAAGAACAAGTCAGCAATGCTGTATGCACTAAATATGCCAACTAATTCAATTACTTGGACAAAACAGCCTAATTCCACACACATATACAAACATATTTTCAAGAAGTATTGTAACAATCACTACAACAATCATTTGAATCATACCATATTTACATTATAAAATTATTTTTAATAGAAGCCACACTAGTATGGGTAATTCTTTATTTGATGCTCCATTGTAATAGGCACAATTCTTCCTCCAAATGAAAACAACTAAAGGGAAACAAGTAAAGAAAAAGCCACTAACTCCAGAGGAAAAGAGAGGGCTACTAAATATACTGTCAGTCCCATAGCAGGTGACAATGAGGCAACTGATGAAGGCCAGAAAAGCTTTTGTGGACAGTTGAAACTATCCTAGCTGGCTCTAACCACCCAGCTTGCTTACAGGGTGAGGCTGTAACACTCTGCCTTCCTCCCTGTTTAACTCTCATCTGAAAAGACGAGCCACCCTCAGAGAGCAGCCATATAGCTGCTTATGGCACTAAAGATGACACTGCACAAGAGTAATTTTACAACCTCTTCATAGTAGACACAGATGCCAACTCTCCTATGCTGTACCTGAGACCCATCTGGTCCCATCTTACTTTGCAGCAGCCCCTGCTGTTTATCATGCAACCATCACAGCCTCTTTTCTGCTCTGTGTCAGACTGACCAGCTGCATCTGAGCTGTGATGTGATCAGACCACTTCCTGCAGCCAAAAAGAAGCTGCAGTGCTGAGGATCGAGATCTGTTAGTATATGAGAGCCCCCAAAGAAAGATTACTCTCTTGAAATGCAGCCAAACACATGACAGAAGCTGTATGTGTATGTGTGTGACACCTGTATATACCACATGCCCTCCTAGATGGATCCTCCTGCCTTGCGAGGATTGTGTTCTGAATTTATACTAGGAAGTTTAAAAAATAAGAAATTAATTACAGAACGTTTAAACCTTCATATTATATGTATCTAACATATGTCATTAAACAAAAAGTACCCAGTAAGTCTTGCCAGTCTGATATGGTGACGCTAATGCTGACATTCACATTTTTTAAAGGCGTTTCTTAACAACAGCAATTAACACATTTTCTTTTCAGCACTTGTGAACCTTGAGTTCAGGCTCCTTGTGACCCATACCTCTCTAATACATGCTATAAGTATGTAAGCCTCTATGAAATTTCCAATCATGTTTGGCACTTGTGTAACTACACAACACCATTTAACACAATTCTCTTAAAACTATTTTGCCTCCAGCCACTCTAAAGTTTGAATATGGTTCCACATGTTTCACATGGGGAAAATCCTGCAACATTCCCATGTTCAACAAAATATAGTGTAGCAAGCAAACTAGACAAAAAAAAAAAACAAAAAAAAAAAAAGAAAAAAGGAGTAACAAATGTCTATTTTGCTTCAAGAATATCTGATTTTTTTACATTTTTAATATCCATCATTAAATGGCTTTCCTCTTCTTCCATCGAAAGTAGGACAGCAATATAAACTCACACTGAACTGTACAAATAATATATTTCAATCAGAACAATTACATCAATGACAACTCATGAAACATAAGCCCAGTATTTCACTGAATCGTAAAAACCAAACAATTTTCTCCCACTCCATGTGATTTTAAATATTTTAGATACATGTTTAATAAGAACATAAAAATAACTCCAGTTGCACTCTCAGAAAATATACAGACAGATGGATAGCAATATAAAAAGCTCCATCACATCCCAACTAACACAGAAATACATTTAAGAAAATGAGAATTATCTTCATTGTTAGATTAAGGAAGGTTTAACGAGGAAATCCATAACTGCTGAAAACAAAATGAAGCCATCATCTCTCTGATAATACCAATATAAAAATTAGTTAAATGGATTAAAAGGACCAGGTATTAAATTTGGTCTGTAGGGTCCTGAATGTAAACCCTGAATGTAGGGTCCTTGCTCTCCATAAAATCTGAGGTGATAACTAAGTCTGCTGTTTGTGCTATTACAGAGTGTAACAAATATATTTAGTAAACGTGGCCTGGTTTGGACACACGTACATACATGAAAATAGCAACTTTTATGATCTGGAAACGCATGATATGGGACATTTATGGGACCTGTACTGAGGCATCAAGGAAGTCGCTACAAAAACTTAACCTTTACATAAATTATGAGTTATTTAAAAGCAAAGATATTAACAAATTTGACTACAGACCACCTGTCATCTGCATTGCAAAAGGACCTGGAATCGCCCACTGAGATCAGAAAACCACTGTTCTAAACACCACAAACACAAAAAGGAATACTGAAAATTCAGAACAAGTGAGAAAACATTACTGCTGGTGGTCTTCCATCCTTTCTCTGGAATATCAGACAGATACAACTGTTGAAAACATTCCTTATTAAACTTTCATATGTAGCCACCTTCATTCAGCTACTTGGACAGTATGTGTGTGTTACTCCCTTTCTCTCCTGTCCTCAGATCCATTGTGCCATTTTATTCCTTCATATCATAATAAATCCATACTCTTGGACAACTGCACACTCCCCAGCTTGTCAGAAAAATTCCACTCCCTGTACTTGCTCCTCTCCCTTTCCTATATTTAACAATTCACCCATATAAAAGAAAAACTGGGCAGACTATTTCTTTCCTTGGTTGTGTAAGATTTCTCTCTTTTCAGTAATATTCTGGTCTTTCTGGCATAAACTCAAATAACCTGAAGTAACACCCATGCGAATAAGGATCAGGTAAAAAGAGAAAGAAAAAAAAATACCTGAAGTTTTTTATAGTTGATTTTTTGTGTGAGTAGGTGCAGCTGCACCAATATAAAAACGAGTACTCAATGTCAAGCTATAAATAGCTCCTGCTGGAAGCCTACTAGCTCTGCCTTTGCTTCCTCAGAGCACAGGTAATAAACTATCACTATTACATTTTTACAATTCAGGAACAAACAGATTTAAGCAAAAATGTTTCTATTTCTACAGCAAATCCAATAAAAGAAACATATTTATGCCATATATAAGGCCCTCTTTATAGAGTATACTCACATTTGAAATAGAAAGACATGAAGTTGTAAAAATATAATCCTTCATTCACTTTAGAATTCTACTTCCAAGAAAGTGACATGACTCAAAATATACAGCTATTCGTTAAGACATGTCATTTATGAAAGAATTATTATTTATGATTTGGACAATATTTATACTGCTTATTATACATCTGCTACTGTTGTATATCTAACATCGAAATGAGCTTTGTGGAACACAATAAACTCACTTGAGATTCTTTTGGATATGAGAGTAAAGAGGGAAAAATACAATTTGCTTTTAATGAAGACACAAACCACACATGGCAATACATACAACAATCCGGAATAAAACGCTAGAAACTGTATTGCAATAGTGGCAAAAGTGGCAACTGCTTTCAGTGTTTCACAAGCCATGTTTTTGTTTTAGTTGCACGGATTCTTCTTAGTCATTGTAAGGCAACTAAGTTGGTTTGGTTTTCCACAGTCTAACTATTCCTATGATATCTCAATTCCAGTACAGAATTTCTGGACGTCTCTACAAGCAGCTAGAAGTAAGTCACAGCATCCAGCACTATTGCTCTGCCATGTAATCAGAGACAGTAGAAAGCTGTCAGCAAGAAACAACTGGAATGCAGTTTTTAAATAAAACAATGAAACAGATAATGCATTGTTTAAAATTATTAACTTAATAGTACTTAATTCACAGCATTTCCTTATCTAAAGCCTCTACAAAAAGAATCCTCTGTGTTACTACACAGAGACCAAAATCAGGCCTCTATCTTTTCCAGAATTAAAGATAACTCAAGATGTACAGATTCCAATCCAACACTCATTGAATTTTTGTGCAATGCAGTTATATTCAACCTAAAACACATAGTCTGTGAAAGGCAGAGAAGAAACCTAGCTCTGTATCTAGATGAATACCTTAAGTGACAGTATTCTCTTTTTGTGGCAATGCACAGTATTTATAACCTAACCGGAAGTTGTGATTCTCCAGAGAATATGGTACACAATCATTTAATTAAACACTATCATAGCACAAAGGGCACAGACCCTGGGTTACTCTGAGAGTCCAATCTCATGTCCTGGAAGCACTGTGACCATGATAACACAGTACAGTACTTCTCAAATTAAGCTTTTGTGTATTAGTTATACATAGGAACAACAAATATGAATACTGTACAAGATAGTACAGGACCTCAGTTTAGCTATCTGGTTTGAACGAACAACAACATGGAAATCATGCTTACTCATAAGTACCATTTAGCCAAGAAGTAATTATATCATACTGCCTTTCCAGACTCACAGCTGTGAGTTAAGAGTAAGTTCAATGGCTTTCTAGACAGAAACTGGATTTACTAAACAAAGCAGTTTTGCAACAAGACTTTGTTAAGAGCTGACTTCAGGAAAATGCTGCTTGCCAAAAAGCTTACCTTTCTCTCTTTCAGTAACTTTTTGTAGCCACTGGTACCCAGAGACAGAAGTGTAATGAGGACATCTAAGGAAGGAGACGCAGATGCTCTTCCTGAAAAAAAACCCAATATACAGATTAAAGTGGTAAAAATAAATTTTATGTGAAAGAAAGCTGATAATCAAGTTTTCTACAGTTATTTCATATGGCTGAAATCAGACCATGAACTAGTTACCTGGATACATTTTGCTGATCTCCTGAATGAAGGACTCGTTGAAGCCAGCAATGATAGCACCACCTACTGGAACCATAAAATTTTTGTCCAAGCTCTGAACAAAAGCATCTATTCTGCCCACTCGAGCACCCTTTGTCAAAAACAAACAAACAAACAAATTTACAGCATATATGCATTTATGAAAAAAAATAAAAATCATAGCATTACCTTTTCTTAGCACTGCTCACTATTAGTACCGTTGTCTGCTTAACGCAGTACCTTACAAATTCCCATTTCTCTGTGATTTAAAATACTGATTTTAGTTCTCACAAGTCTAAGTGGAGCTCATTTTCAACAACCAAAAAGTAACCACTCGAAATTTAATGGGAATTTTACAGTTAAAACTGTTCAACCCAAAACACTTTTCACAGATTCTCACAGTAAAGGACTACAAGTTAATGCTTCATTAGCAAAGATTTCTCTCTATACACATATAAGTTTGCATTAAAACAAATGAGCTGTTACAGCACTTCTAAGGCTGTTTGCAAAATCCAGCTCCCGATAACTTCTTACAGCAGATATCCCCCCACTTTAGAGAAAAAACCATCCTTATACCTAACCACTCAGATTTTCTTAAAGGAAAAAGTCTATATTCTGCAGTATACCTTCAATTCGAGTAATATACAACAGGGAACTGTACAATTAAAACCTATGCAGCATAAAAGAATCTGAAAGCTATATTAAACCCCATAAATACTAAAGCACATGCAAATACATACAATTTAAAGTGTTACAAACTGAATGCAAGAAAGAACAGAGTTAATACCTATGGCAAACAGACTGAAAAAAGCAGATCCAACTAAACCACATTTATTATTTCTATGTTTTGATAGCTTAATGCATGTAAGATAGGAAGAAGCACTCCAAGTTTGTCAGCTTTTTGATGGGAAGATGAATGCCAGAAGCTACTGTTTGATTTAATTGACAGGAGACCACCACAGGAAAAGCATGGCAAATGAAATGGTCTCAAAAGCTTTTCCCCTGTGATACTCTTGCAAGTTCTATTCACAACTGTGCTCAGCATGTACATATTCCTAAGTATTCATTAGTAACTACTTCCTCATAAACAGCACATTTTCTAGCACACTAAATAAATTTTTGTAAATAAATGTAAAACAAATCAGAGCTCAAATGTATACATTTGCATAAGCAAGGAATAAACAAACAACTTATCAAGTCTAGAAAAAATGCAGAAACCAACGCAGTAAAACTTCTATTTGTAGCTTTATAGTCTGAAATGTTTATCATTAGATACACTTCATGCAGCAAACCCCAGCATTTCCACAGCCCCCTTCATGTTAGTTTCTCACTAAACTTCTGCAAATTAAATAAACATGTACCAAGTACATTACAAATAAAGCGCATACCCTTTTCTATTTCACAAAACACTTCAAAGTTTTGTTAAATTCCCTCTCTTTCAAAATTTATAAATGCCAACATGACGTTCCTGTTACAATCATGTCTGTGCCCTGTTAATAATGTCTTAGCAATCAGAAAAAAGATTACCAGCATATTTTAAATTAATAATAGTTCAAGATTCCCTGGATCCCGTTAAAATATAATCCTCTATTTTTTTGAATAGGCAGAGAGAAAGGAGAAATATTGAAGAACACCGCACTTACAATACAATTAGGAAAAATGCAAGAATTCTGCTTCATGACTGATCTAAGATATCAAGCAACATCCTCTTCAAACTCAACAACATCAGAAATTAAACCTTTTTGAACATAACATTGAACTTAAACCAGTTTCCTCAGCCATTCTCCATGCCAACAATATTTCAACATCTATAAAGTGTTGCTGTAGAATCCTGTACCTTCCATTGAAAATCTGTAACTCACATTCTGTTGAAGGCATAATCCCTATTCAAGTATGTATTTTACTTTTAATCAACAAGCTTACGAAATATTTTAAGAAAGCTTATTAAGGACATTTTTCCATTGTGAAAGACACATGAACTACACAAAACCTAACTAAATGTAGGGTTATTATACAAAAAGCACATAATAGAAAAAATATTATTTTAAAGTTCTATTTCCCTCTGGTTTTTTTCCTCAGAAAATTGTTCAAATATCAGATATGCACGGGATTACTCTCAACAGCATGAGGCATCTGATAAAATCTGCTAGGTTGTCTACAATCAGAGATTTACTTACACTTGCTAAAAAATATTACTGGAAATACACAGCTCCTACCTGCTGGATAAGATGCATACATTTTGACGACTGAACTCCATATGCATTGTTGACAATATGGGGAATGCCATAATTGGCACAAATCACTGCCAGTTCCTCCAGCCTGTGAGCATAAAACTGTAATTTAGAGAAGCATCGGTAACTGTAACTCATCTTACAAATCAGACCATTAGAAGACTGAAGGGTCTACAAGGAGGTCAGAATGAGAAAGGTAATGTTTTGATTAGTACCTCAAGGCAGTACTTGTCACCTTAAACTATAAAGGTTAAGGTAAAAATTCTATTGCCTTTTACATATATTGCAAATTGTTAATCTGGTCTGAAACTTTTCATGCTTCTCTTTCTGCCTGGACACCAGTAATTACATCCCAAACCATTCTGCTTCAGGTATAAGCTTTTTTTTTTGCTACTTTAATGTTAACTAAGAGAGCTTTAGCTAATCACACTTTTTTTAACTTTTCTTCTAGTATTCAACATGAAATTGGTCTGTGGAAGTTCCAAGAGTGCCTTGGGAATAGAAAGCACTGTATAACAGGAAGTTTTTAGATGCTTCTGTTTAATTCAAAGAACTAGTATTTCAATCCTTTGGCTGGAATCTCATTTACATGTTTCAGACAAACTAATTAAAAGAAAATTCTTTAAAGGAATGGAGAGTCCTAAAATGTCTGAATACGGACATTGACAAATTGAAACTTTGTTCAACTGTTTACAACTTCACTTGCATTTGGAATCACCTGAAATCACAATGAGCTCAGCCTGGATTGATTAATCAGTCAAATTAAAATTTATGTGAGCGCACAGACCAATTTAGATAAAGGCCTTCAGCATTTTAAACATACATGGAACTTAGTACCCTTTTCTGAAGCACTCCAATTATGCTCTGTTTTTTAAAAAAAGACTCATGATTTTCCCCAAACTCATGAACCTATTTTAGAAATAAGATCTATTTGAAAAAATAAGGTAATATATAGTCATTTGAGCGATGATAAAAGTAATATTGCCTCTAAAAAAACCCCAGGAAACTCTACTTCTAATGTATTTTTACTCTCTTTCTGTACAGCCTCTCACTGTAATGTACTGCCATTCATATAAAATGTGACAGAGTATGAAAACATTTTCCAAGAGGTGACATTCGTTTGCATTCTATTTCTATTACATTGCCTAGTGTTGTTCTGCAATGCAAAATTCAGCTGCAAATGTCATAGTAAATTTTCTGAACCTCAATCCTTAGGAAATCATCACTATCACCATATTATCCTTAAAGAAATCAAAAGTATTTTACAATTAGGAAACACCAGTAATGTAACGTACACGTTGATCTTCTACAGTCAAGATATTTGTCAGGAGCTGCATGTCCAATAATTTTTCATATTTATTAACATCCTGAACTCTGTAACAGTAACAGAATACTTGAGGAAACATAACAATATGCAGGGCAAAGTTTTTGCCTTCTGATCTGCTGATCTTAATCACACTCATTAGTCACCTTCTAGAGAGAATCAAAGCAACACAGTTCCCCTCTTACAAGCTTTTTTCGGGTGTAGGCAGAGAATTCCATCAAACTGGAAACACAGAGGGTGTACAGCTATGTATGTTTGTCTCTCTCACCTCTTGAGACTGAAAGGAGCAAAAAGCTAGCTTCTACAAGTACTGAAAACAGAAAAGTCTCTTATTTTCTTCCTAAAAATATTCTACTGAACAATTAGATCCATATTACAATACAGAATGAGAATTCTACAGTTTGAAGGGAGTGTGTTAATATGCAAGAGAAGCAAATGATGCACAGCACTTGTCTGCTTCCAAGGCTTAAAATGAGGCATTAAAAGTGCTGCTAGTCATATCATAAAGCATTAATGTAAGTTGGCTACTACTCAAGTTCTTAATAGTCACAAATACAGAAATATTTCACAATTTATTCTCTCTTTCTCTCCTGTTTGTGAAAGTTCATGAAAAGAAAGCTTTGCTCTTTTTTTCTATTACTGAAAGTAAAAAGATACAGAATTCTGCTAAGTACATAAACCAACTGAAAAATAACCCTTTTTTTCCCTTTGGTTCTCTTAAATCAGTAGTTTCAGAAACACCTCACAGCAAGAGCAGGTAAAACACTCTGAGAACTGATGTCTCTCTGATCAAGAGTGTTTATACACTAGCGAATTATTCCCACAGAGTTAAACAATACTTCAAAGGAAAGCTATATGCACACAGCCATAAAACTACTTAAAATTTTAAACCACCACCACCACAACTAAATAAAGCCTTACAAATGCAAGGTATGTAAAAACAGACATTTAAAATGGCACCCTCCAGAAATGCTGTACAGGGTTTTCCTTCCTGTAGGAAGATGAATGTTATGGGCTTCCACAGTTGACAGTATCCTTTAAATAGACAGTGCATTCAAATCCTCCTATATCTGTGGTATATCATAACACAGTGCCACTACCTAATAATTCATCTCTTAGTTGTAGAGGACAAAACAATCGCATGTCAAAAAGAGGAAGCAGATAAGGAAAAGATTCATTTACCTGAGCTATAAAACAGACCATTCAATTTTGATAGCTGTGATTTAAGTTAGCTAATAAATCTGCAAGTCAACTTCAAGCCATGTTCATACTACTCTGACAGAATTATAAGGTTTTAACTTCCCTCTAGCAACTAGGTTAACATATGATAAATATTGGGGGTTTTTTTAAAGGTAGGGAAAGAGAGTGAAACATATCTTTACATGCCACATTTCAGAGTCAATAATTTTCTTTCACACACTTGCAAATAGTCAACTAAATTTTCCAAATAACAAAGTAATTAACAAAGAAGCACACACTGCAGAGGAACTCTAAACGTTAAGTCTTTTCAGTTTTGTGATAAATTAAAAACAGTGGAAATGAAATTACTAAGACACTAAATTTAAAACCATGTAAAAAAAGACATTAATACCTCCTACTTTAACATACTACATAAAAGCTCATAAAAATATACCTGTTGAATCATAAAACCTAAGGAATTTGCTTCTTCATACTTATTTTGCAAGCAAATACAGAAAGCAGGTTTTGCAAATAACAACAATGCTCATTTTGGGCAAATGACTCAATATATCAAGTACTTCAGGCACTTCTCCTCCAACATGCCACTTTCAGATTGAGAAGTTTCATAACCAATGCACAGGTTGAAATAATGTCTCAGATACTCTATTTCTCATTCATAACCACAATGTTTTGGTATTAACAGCTTAGGAAAATTCATCATTGGTTGTAGGAAAAGAGTAGAAAAGGCAACAGTAACATTAAAATGTGCCATTAGCTATGGAGGTATATTTACTGGACTATGTCTCTGTGAAAGTCTACTTTTAATACTTCCACAAAATTATAAAAAAAACCACTACCAAACTGGCATTAATTTCACCATCAGAGATCATCATTAATCTTAGTTATATGGCAGAAGAAAAACCTGCATTATTCTCACCCTTTTAATATACTTTTCTGAAAGTGGAACACTCTTCAACCAAGGTGATTAAAAGACCTTTACTAATTGTTGGCAGAAGCAATTTTAAGAAGATGGACATTCAAAACATGAAGGTTTTGGTCTGTTGGATTTTGTTTGTTTTTACTGTAACAACACACTTCTTACAAAGACTGCTTACCTATCAGGTACCCTTGGAGCAAAGCAAGATGTTGTGGAATGCACACAAAGAATATTTTCAGCACCAAGAGCCTTGATTTTGGCCTCCACTGCTTCAAGGTCTGTCCGTAGCTCATCGCCTTCTAATGCATTTTCTATCACCACAGGCTCAAAACCTGACCAAAAAAAGGAAGACCTGAATGTAACTCAACAAATCTCTGACTAATTTTGAGGTTTCAGTTCCAGTATACATCTGAAAAACCTTCTTGATTCTGTTGTTTTAACAGATTCTTTCTAACAAAAGAGATTGTTCAAATCAGACAGATTGTTACCTTCTGATCACAATTCCTCGGACGCTTATGCTTTTTACATAAATTCAAGAGAGAGAGATTTGAATCATGGGCTTCAGTTTCACATAATTCTCAGGAGAGCAAATTAGGCATCTTACTTGGAGGGTGAACTGTAACTTCCTTAGTACTGTGTTCTCTGTTGACTAATTTATACACCTCTGCGCCTCAGCACATGCCTGCATTTTACAAGGCATTAGGATTACAACTCATACGTGTGATTGCATGTTAGAAATCAGGAGTGTAGAAATAAAGCAAAACTAACCATGCATGAGGCCTTTTTCTGTATGTTACTGCAAGGATATGAAACTCTGATGGTCGTAGAAGATCACACTCTGTGTGATCAATCAACTTCTTCTTACCTGCAGTTATCATTGATTTAAAGCAAGATTTCTGGTCTATACGTGGCCAGATAATGTATTTCGCCTTTGGTCTCTTGTGCCGCAATGTTAAAAAACACAGAGTCAAACTCATGCCAGTTGCCATGGGAACCACAAAGCAACTGGCCACTGTCCGGACACCTGCACATAAAAAGCAAGGCAGAAATTAAGATGAAGACCCCATGACACACCCCCACAAACAAGAAAGATTTTTCAAATTTACACCTACCAGCCAGCTTTATAATATCCAGAACTACTGAATTAGTAAGTTTGTTCAAAAGGCTCGACCCTGCAGCTTTAGGTTGGACTGCGGAAATATCACCTGACCTTCCAATTCCATGGATCAATCTAAACAAAAGAAGTTGAAAACATACATCAAGCTTTTCCACATAGCAAAGCAATAATTCTTGCTGACTAAAAAGAATTTCATTTGATAAACAATTGTGGAAAATTTTGTATCCAATGCAACATCAATACCTGCATCAATATTTGCATCTGGAATTCATTACAATGAATACCATTGTAACAAACTACATATATTTGTATGAAATTTGTTTTTTTTCTAACATTAGATTAAAAATCTTCCAGCATGCAAGTAAAAACTTTGAGAATACCCACAGTAGCAACACCTTTAGCATCTGGCAGGTTTCCTTTTACGCACACCTCAGCACTTCTTGATGTTTGTTGAATTAGCATTATAAATGCTGACACATTCACACACACAACTCCAAGGAAAACAAAAATGATTTGCCTATAGTGTACAGTATCATAGGCATAGCAGTATTATACAGATACTCCCTTGACAAATGCTTCATCTCCTTAAGCCAAGGAAATAACATACACTATGCCAAACACATATATATATATGCTTTGCCCATCTTCTACATCTTCATCTACCTCATTGTGCTATTCAATATTATCTATCATGGAATAACATGTCTGTCTGCATTCTGTTTATAAATTATGTTTATAAACTGCATTTATAAATATTGAATATTATTTAGTACCTTCCAGGAGCGGAGGATCCTGGAATAATTTATAAAATACAAGCTTATAAAACTAACTTCGGCCATGGTTGAAATGCAGCAGCTGCTCAAGTAAGCTAGTAACAATACACACCTATTTATGGCTTAAATTCTGTTTTTATCTTGGGAATGGAGTAAAATGCACTCTGATGAGTATATGGAATTCAGAACTTCTTGGAGCACAGTTTTACAGCTTAAATTTATTTCCCTGTTTCAAGTTATAGGTTGAAATCAACAAACACCTGATAATTAGTTGAAACTTACATATAATCCCCACTGCACCTAAAATATCTTCTTTGCTGTTCCAACTACATTCTTAACAACTTTCTTATACCAGCACTTTTTATTGTCTGCATATAAGCACTCCTTCCTAAGGAGCAATCCTCCATAAGACTGGCCCTTAGAATTTAAGCTGAAAGGAAAGACAGCTTGAAAACCATCTCCTGCTGCCTCCATCACTCCCACAGTCACCTGTAACCACCTGTAACACTTACTGTGGTGGAGGACACCTTGCTAATGCTGACACTCCCAGGTGAAGCGAGATGCCAGGTGACAGAGCTGCATGCGAACAACAATAGCTAAATGCCAGTTCAGGCTCCCTCTGGCCAGAAGACAGACAGGATTTCTCCAGCACTGTCAGAAAGCAGAACTTCCTAGATACTCTCCCCTTCCATACCACATGTATCCTAGTCTAAAGAGCCGTACACAAAACTAAAAAAGACAAACTGATGTATTACTGGCTTTCTCCATTAATTTTACATGGTACTGTATCACTTAGGAAAGCCATTAAGCCAAAGTAACCCAACCTCCATACGGTAAAGCTTGCTAAATTTCTGGTCTCTAATATGCTTTTGTGTTAATCTTTCAAGGAGAAACTTCCAGGAAATTTCACTTTGTTCCATGCCTGTTGGATAAAACATCACAGCAAGGTACTCAGCACAGAACTCCACACAAACGTACAAAAAAGTATGTTCATAAGGAAATTAAAGCAGAACCTCTAAAATTATAGCATCCAACACACCTATCAAGTGTCAGAAGGGCTAAAAGCTATTAAAAGTTCTTTGTGTCTTTATAGATCTCCTTCCTTCATAGATAGGTTGTTCTTTCATCTGCCTATCAACTAATAACATTATAAAGCTATTAATAAATATAATAAAATAAAAATAGCTGTTCACTAGAAACGTTCAATACTGCACAACTACAGTGTGCAGCAGTTTTAAATAAGATATAGATGAATATATATATAAGATATATATGTTAAAAAAGTAATGCATAGTGTATTTTAAAACAGGAAGATCTCTGCTTCCCTTGTAGAAGCCAAAGATACTGAGTTGTCTTCTGCAAGGGAAGCATACAAGATATACCCCTGACAAAACATTTGTTTCATTCAAGACTTTCCAGTGAGTTGTTAATGAAAATTAATATACAAAGTTGCATCAATTCAATTATTGCATTATTTTTCTCAAATGCTATCAAGGTCTTAGATAACAAAACACAGTAAAATATGCCATTTGAAAGCATTAATAATAAATCTGAATAATTGAAACTGTCAGTAATTTGTACCTGTAATGCCTTCGGGCAACGAGTCCTGACGCCACTCTTCCTTCCCTCTCACCCACACCACAGTTGCCCAGGAAGTTATTGCTATCCATTATAGCAAGTTCATGAAGAAACAATTCAACGGTGCTTTCATCCCATCCATCCTCAGGACATTTTCCCTTAATAATAATAATGTAAAGGTAACTAAGAAACTCAGAAATTAAAAATGAACAAAACTTTATGCAACTTGTTTGACTGTTACCCTTCTTTCCCACACTGTTTGTATTTTCATTACGCTGTTTTATGTTATCTAATGTTACGAACCTGTATTCAGAGAAAAGTTAAATGATTTTTCCATGTATTAAGTACAATTACATTAGCATATCCTGACATTAAAATAATCAGGATATTTTTCACCTTGAAGTGTTCTTTATGGTACACACAAAAACCTCTACAGGGTTTTTATCTAGTTATTATCTAATAGGTAAAGAAACGACTTCCAGAATACATCAAAATCTGCAACCAGAAAAATGCTTTCTTGTGGTCTTTACTCATCTTTGCCAATTGCAAAAAAGAACCTCCGAAGAAAGGAGCACATAAACCCATGAAGCACTGCTATAGGTTCAGAGGCTTTTTCACATGTCCCAGTAAGAACACAGCAAATTCAGGAAATCTGAATTTCTGAAATGCAGTATCAGTTAAATTGGAAACAGTAAATGACATGACTAAGGATGGTCAAGAACTGAAACATTTGCTAATTCATTGATAATTATTGTTATACACTGGACACAAAGAAATGGCACCTTACAAGTGTATCACGTTTTACCTAACGTAGTAACGTGCAAATATCTCAACTTCTTTTAAACATTAATTGTTCGCTGGGCCTTTTACATAACATAAGGCGGTCACTTTTTTTTCCCTCTCAATCGCGGCCTTTCACCCTGGGTGTCCGTAAGGTCTCTGCCACCACGGCCGCGGCTCTCCCGACCGTGCGGCCCCGGGTCGGACAGGGCGGTGACGCCGCGCCAGGGGGCGGCGAGGCCCGTGAGCCCGGCCCGGCTGCGCGCTCACGGCGCTGCGCGGCGGCTCCGCCGCGGAACCCGGGAATCTGAGAGCCGCTCTGCCCGCTCGGAGCCCGGTGCGCGGAGGGCGGGCGGGCGGCTCTGCCGCGGTGCGGACGCCGGTGCGCGGAGGGCGGGCGGGCGGGCGACTCGGGGCGGCCGTGCCCGGCCGGAGCGCGGTGTGCGGGGTCCGACCCCGTTACCTGCTCCAGCAGCGCCCGCAGGCGCAGCTCGTGCGCGCGGCGGCCCTGCGCCCCCTGGCGCACATAGGCCGCCGTCACCAGCCGCTCGCTGCAGCCCTGGTTCTCCGCGTTCATGACCACGGCGCTCCCGCCGCCGCCGCTCCTCCTCGGCGCCGAGCAGGCCCGTAGAGCCAGGCACTTTCCGCCGGGAAGGGGCGGGCCGGGGCGGTGCAGGCGCACGGAGCGCCGGGGCCCCACCCCACCGCCGGCTCCGCGCCGCGGGCAGAGCCCGCCCGGCACGGCTCGGCCCTCCCCTCCCCTGCCCGGCCCGGCCGCGTGGTGGAGCTCGAACCCCCAATGCAGGTGCGGTGCTGCGGCGGCCCCTGGCCCTGAGCCTCAGGTGGGCGGCCCAGCGCTCTGAGCTCGGGGCGTCCTCCCATAAGGGGCGTGAGGGAGGAGCCCGCCGGAACACAGACTGCTTGGCTGGGAAGAGCCTATTCGTGGATTGTTTTTCCCTGCCCCGCAAGGTTTAGCATTAGGCTGTTGGTAACAGCGTGCGTCCCCGAGGCCCCCGAGAGGGCTAGGGCGTTCTGTGCTCCTCGGGATGTGTTTGTGGACGCAAGTGGTTGAGGCATTGTCCTCAGGGAATAGCAGCAATCTGCCTGCTGGGGCCGGGGAGTGCAGCCCAAAACTGCGTCGCAGGGACGGACATGCTATCAGGAGAGACTTAATTTACCTTCTTCTTCTTTTTTTTTTTTTTTTTTTTTTTTTTTTACATTATTTGAGAAAAGGCAGTTACACCAGCAGGAGATCTGGGACAGCTTTGCATCTTTACTAGGGACTGCCAGTGAATCCTCGGCAGGTGGAAGCTTCCCTGGAACTGTCCTTTGCCCCACGAGGCGGTCGCAGGGGCTGGCAGGTTCCCATTTGCTTTTTTAAAACGACCAGTAGCGAATACAGAAATTGAAGAGGCGCATTAGGTGTATGGTGTGTTTGTTCCAATGTTTGGTTTTAACCAGCCTGTATCTGGTCAGCTGAATTTGTTTATGAAATCTTATCTGATTCTTCTGCTCTACAGTTTTAAGATCAGACGGCTAATTGGCACGTGAAGAGTGCATATTGACCGTCCTGCTTCTGTAAGTTTAATTAGCCTGATTAGGATCCTTTGGGCGTTCTGACAGAGTAATCTTACACCCTGATTTAATTGTTAGCTCAGACTAAAATTAACACAGTTTCTTAATCCTTTGGGACAGAAGAGAGCTTTACAAGTTGAACTGTCCCGCTCCTCAGTCCTCACAGTCACGCCGCGCCTGGACTGTTGCGTATGTCGTGTTGCTGGTGCTTTATGAACACGGAGCAGCTGCTCATCTTGATCTGTATCACAAGAGGGCGCTCACCTAAAGCGAAAAGCGCACGGTTGTGCGTGAATTCCCTTTTTTTCCCTTCTGTTTTTCCTACTCCAATATTTCGACATAGTGCTCAGATACGTATTATGAACAGATGACAAAGTATGCTTTGTGGGTTAGAAGGATAGAGACAGAAGCGTTAGCATGAGGAAAATGATCCAACTTATTTGCGTGATGTAATTGTTAGTAATTTTAATCCAGGTGGCTAATTGAAGAGCATTAGCTACTCGGAATTAAAATTAATGGTTTGTTAATAACTATGAGGGTGATGTGTATTTTGTTTAATTATGAGCTGTCGTAGTGTTTGAATTCTGCACTACTGAAGAGTGAGGCAATGTAAAGGCTTTGTTAGGTCAAGACCTATGAGCAAGTTACAGAATTCTCATTGCAGCAGGAGAAGAAAACTACCAGTTAACTGCATTTAGAAGTACAGTAATGTGTAGATGAGCCCATAAACCAGGAGAAATATTTTTCTTTATTCTTTACTGTGAGGCGAGTGAGGCACTGGAACAGGTTGCCCAGAGAAGTTGTGGATGCCCCATCCCTGGACGTGTTGAAGGCCAGGTTGGATGGAGTTTTGAGCAGCCTGGTCTCGTGGGAGGTGTCCCTGTCCATAGCAGGGGAGTTGGAAGGTCCCTTCCAACACAGGCCATCCTATTATTCTATGAAAAATAACTAATGAGTTATTTCTTGTTTAGTTTTATCAGAAGAAAGAACTCTCAAAGTTTTTAGAAGCCCTCGAATGAACTGTTTAATGGAATGTTGTTGAAACAGTCACAATTCACTCATAGCTAAAGGGAGATGCAGTATTACTTAGCAGTCTGCTGAGAAAAATGTCAGATTTCTCCCATTTTAGTCTGATCTTTTTGTTTACTTCATACAGAAATTAACATCCATAGAATTTTCTGTACAGAAAATTACATCCAGTTGCTGTAACATTCATAAATATGTTTACTGGGCACAAAATGGCTATTCATCTGGAGTCGTGTGACTGGATAAGTTCACTTTTAATAGAAAGGGATGGAAACAGAAATGCGAGTGTGAACAGATTTTATCAAATGTTACAGATATTAGTAGTTACATAAGTAAATGACACAGCTTAGTTCCAAAGTCCACTGGCTGACAGGTAATCTGAGACAAAACAAACACAAGTCCAGCATTTCAGTAAGGTTTTATTTTGTCATAACCAAGCAAAGTGATTTTCTTTCTGTGATCCCAGGTTATGCACAGAATGAGTCCTTACACCATGCATAATTATGAGAATACTGAATAATTAATATGTACAGTTACTATTTTTAGCTGAGAACTGATTTGCTCCTGGTATAACCCAGAATCCCAGTTCTATGCAAGTACTTCAGGTGTATATCTTTCTCCCATATTTCACCGAAATCTGAGGAAAATCCCTCTTCTATAGAGAGGTGTGGGACAAGGCATCCAGGTCAAAATCTGATGCAGTGTGTTGGGGTTATAGTTGTATTCTCTTTCTTCCAGTCAAGATCGCATTGTTGTTGTGGGAACATGAAAATAATGACAATGTGTTCAATGTATTCATACTGTTTTCACTTACGTTATTTTTAGGCTTCGTTTTGGAAGTTACCGTGATGATATAGAACAATGTCGTGTAAAGCGTGGGGAGGGAGAGCGGCTGGCTGTGGCAAGTGGTGGCCAGGAGATAAACCTGTTCCAGATGTAGAAATAAGGCGAGTTCCAGGGGTGTTTTTGTTAAACTACCAGCTGCTGTGCGCGCCCCGTGACTGGTGGCTGGCGCGGCGCAGACTTTGGAGCCGAGCGGGGGCGCTGGCGGGGCCGCGGGCGCGGCCCCTTTAAGGCAGGTGGCGGGGCGGGCGCGGGGCCGCGCGCAGGCGCGGGGCTGCGCAGCCGGAGCGGCGGGAGAGCCCCCAGCCCGCCCGGCCG